GCTGATTAATGGATCAGCAGCTCAGGTTTGCTGTTTATTTATCAATAGAATAAGTAAAACGTTTAAATTAAGCAGGTTAACTCGCAGTAATTTCCATTCCTTTACTGACATCTAGTGGACAGTTTACAGATTGCACCCTTAAATTTAAAACCAGAGGAGTTCAAGTGTGTGTGGTTTTAACCTTCTGTAGGGTTTGTAGGTTACATACAGTTGATATGAGCACCCTGAACTTCTTAATTTACTTATTAACTATAGTATATTTCTGTAAGGACACATTTTAAAACTAAAATAAGGAAAAAGTTGTGATTTTATTGGCAATTTTCAGGAAAAGTGCATCGAAACTGCACTGCTGAAGGATGGACGGACCTTCTCGTCCCACATGAGGATGCATGTGGCTACACATTCAACGAGTCCTTTCATTTTCTTGGAGAGGTTGGTGTTTTCTTTTGTCCAGTGTGTAGCATGCCGACATTTAGCTGTGTGTCTTACTGTCCCCAGACTACGTCCATCCTGTTAGCGGTCTCTATCCGACTCGCTGAAGGTTGATAAATAAAAACGGAAATGAAATGTAAATCACTCTGCATGCAAATTTGCTTTTGCTGCGCTTTTACTTTGAAGGCGAGTGGACGTTTACATCAGCAACCTCTTTGTGTGCGCTAACGGTGGTCTCTCCACTGGACAATGGATTCTTTGAGAGATTTAGGAATTATGATCATGTCGGCACATAGTAAATAAAGATGTTCAGCCTTTCAACACACAAAGAGAAACAGAACAGGTACTCACATTCTTGGCACCGGCGAAGACCGAGCTCTTGTTCTTGGTTTCTTACCTGATCAACCAACTTACAGGAAAACTCCAAAAAGGGAAGGCAAGGGATAACAGGTTAGCACAGAATATACCGGATTGTTCACCGTGTAAGTCACGTTTTTTTGTTGTTGCATAATCTGCATGCCCTGCGACTTATAGGCCGAAGCAACGTATTTATGGATTTATTCCCATATTTATAAACTATTTTTGACTGAGATATGACTATTTTCATTCATTCTGACTGAAAATATTGAACACTACCATTTTCAAACGCTAGATGGCACCAGAGAGGTATGGCATGCCGTTGTGTCATGTAATAGGTAAAAGTGGCTATAATGACTTAAAAAAAAGTTCAAGACAAAAACAACTGGATTTTATTTATTTTACTTTATTGTTTTTGTCTTGAACTTTTTTGACTTTATCATATCCTGGATGACTGAGAATCTTCAGCAGCTATTAATGACGCAATCAGCTTGCCGTAGTCTTCCACCTTCGTTCTGCTCGCTCGGAGCAACTGTCACGTCAGCTTCATTTCTCTGCGCCGCCGCGACGAAATGCAGCTGATTTGATCATTAAAGTGCATTTATTAAGAAAAAGTTAGACTGACACACCTTTGCTGTAAAGTCGAGCAAACAAATAATTGTTTTTAAGTATTTATCTTGTTAAATTTCAAAGAAACACAGAGACTTGTCCCTCTGCGCATTTCTATTTCTGCGTATCGGCTTTTGAAATGCAGCTGATTTGACCGTCAAAGTCATGTCCAGAGGAGGGACAGCGGTTTGGACGTGTCCAGAGGAGGGACAGCGGTTTGGACGTGTCCAGAGGAGGGACAGCGGTTTGGACGTGTCCAGAGGAGGGACAGCGGTTTGGACGTGTCCAGAGGAGGGACAGCGGTTTGGACATGTCCAGAGGAGGGACAGCGGTTTGGACATGTCCAGAGGAGGAACAGCGGGTATATTGGTAGAAGACGTTAGAAATGCAGCTGCCAGGAAAAAGACAAAGAGGAGACATCTGGATGCAGTTAGAGAGGACGTGAAGGTAGTTGGACTGAGGACAGAGGACATGGAGGTAGTTGGACTGAGGACAGAGGACGATGGAGGCCGAAGACACAAGTGCAAACCTCTTAAGAGGGAACAGCCAAAATAAAAAGAAGATCTACAGTTTGGTGTTAGATGAGCCGAACTTTCAACACATATTGTGAGCACCAAAAGATCTTCCTTTTAAATTGTGTCATTAACTTCTTGAGCCAACTGACACTGTTAGCAAAATATGTGATGAGCCAGCGGATGGACTGTAACGAACGCTGGCTGCACATCTACAACTAACATTTGGAGAAAACAGAGTTGAGGACGGTCAAACTCGATTGCAGCTACAAGTCGGTACATTTTACAAATATTTAGCTGCAGTTTGGAGTGGTAGTAGCCGAGAGTAATCAGCTGCGCAGAGTTCAAGCACAAACAGATCAGCAGAGTTTTTATATACAGCAGGAGAGCGTGCTCAGGGTTTATGTCCTATAGATTTCCGTGGTTATTTGAAAGCACGACCAGCGCCAGCAGCAGCTCCTGTTCGGCCCATAGTGCTTGTGATGGAATAAGCACTCGTGAACCTGCTGGGGCTGTAAAGGTTTTCAAAGCAGCGTTTAAAGGATCCATTTAATCATGTAGCATGTTTGAAGTCCCTACTCCAACGGAAACATGCTTTCCAATACGTTGTAGGACAAACGTGCACGACAGCAATGCGTCATCACGAACACACAACAGGTGGCTGCAAGTGTCGGACCTGGAACATCTGCAGGAAACGCCACCACCACTAACCTGAGCAACGAGCCGGCTGACCCACTGCCAGAGCTCATCGTCCTCTTACACCTGCTGTCCCCTCGTTTCCACCCCGAGCCGAAGGAACGCACCGTGTCAGTCGCTGTCACAAACAGCAGAAGGTCAGTTCCACCCTGGCGAGCAGAGCCGAGCAGCCATTTCTCAGCTCATTAAGGAGCAGTGCGCCATCCTGGTGTCACGAAGCAACGCCTCGGAGACCTCCCCACACAAACAACCACCGTTTTTAATGGAGCCCGAGACAAGGGACAGACCCTGTTCTTCAGAAGCATCGAGATGTTTCCTCAGATATACCTGGCTGGAACATCGTACAATCAACAGGTTCGTGGGCGAGGGTGCCCAGATCAAAAACACGTCAACACATCTTCCAGATGAGCTGATGGTCAGTGTCATGGATGTAGTCGTTATAAGGTAGACATGTTTAGACTGTTGCCATGGCAACTAGTTAAAAAATGGGAAGCCAAGTCAATAATACAAACAGATATAGACCAGGGTTTTCTAGTCGAGGCCTAATTACATTTATAGAGTGCTACATTCAAAGGACTGAGCCTGAACAAACCAAGAGATTGACACCGAGCGTTAACTTCTCTGTTTATGTGCTGATAATCTGGATAGGTTTTCCATCTTTGCACTTCTTTACCTTCTTTTCTTACGTACCAAGTGTCAGTAAAATGGTGCATTTTGTGCAGAAATCAACAGTGATTAAAAACTAGTGATGGGTCCGGCGACAGCGATGCGTCGGTGCGCGTCTCCCAAGTAGGTATCGCTAAGGACTGAACAGAATCTTCTTGTGTTTGACAGCAGACAGAACGAGAAACCTTCAGCTTTTAAAAACGAGTTGACGTAATTTAACTAAAGAGCCAGAAGTACAGCTTGTCAGTGTTCGGTCTGCAGAGAACCCCTTCTCCGGAAACACTATTAGAAAGTCACGTGACCAATACAGGTCATCTTTAAATTCATCAAGAATTATGACGCAGCCTCAAACCAAGAGAACGGTTTCTGTCGTGTGGGACCATTTCGATCTCGTATCGGAAAATAAGCTCTTTGTTTTAACTTCCTTGTCGTTTCATCCTGTTAGAGTTTCCACTTGATCCGTCCGAATTCAAATTAATTTCAACGTCGCTCTTAGTTTATTCTTCATATTATTTTCTGCGGGTTAAATGTCGCATTTGTTCGGCAGAGCTTTCGTATTTGAGTGAATCCACCTCCTCGATGCTGAGGCTCCCCGAGCCTCGTGCTCTCGTCTCGCGACAGGTTACGACGACGCACCAGCAGCCGGTACATTTTTAAAACGTGCTGGTTCATTACGCAATGATTGTGCACGTCGGCTCGGGCTTCTACGATGCAGCGCAACGAGATCTGAATAAGAATGCACAATATAATATTGTGTTAATCCACTTGTTGAGGAGGAGGCGGGTCAAACCAAGTCCTGTTAACCTCAGATGGATCAGCTGATCACCGGCCGCGCGCGTCTCCGCACCTTCTGCCATCTGTAGTGAAGTAGCAGAATTACAGGGCCGGACGCAAAAACAGAGAAACCGACTGAGCCGTGCTCATCTTGAAGGTGTCACCGTGGCTGCAGCAACAAATTACAACGTGAAGAACGTCCAGGACCTGCTCCACAGCTTCTCGGCACTAACAGATAACGCGCTGGCTGCGTTTCCTTTTTGTTCATAGGTGGGTTGTTCAATTTGCTGAGTGACTTGGGGTGATATCGCGGCTCTCCCCTGGATTTTGATCCGTCAACGTGGCTCTTTTGAAAATAAATAAATAGTGAGGATCACTGCATTATAGGACGAGGCATGAGAACGAAGTCCCTGACACATCCAGGTAAACTCAGGTATACAACTGTTCTACAACTTACTCAGTTGCTTTATTGATAATTAATTCCTATTAATTTATCTCATTTCTAACCATCAAGCTTCCAGGAAGCAGATGCAGGATGAGGCTCTGCTCAGTTTCATCCTGAAGGACTGCCAGACAAACTTACATTTTTAGAATAAAAAACAATCCCAGTCCACAATCATCCCCTTCACTTATATTTTCACGTGATGATACATGTTCACATTATTTATTGACTGTATCTAAAAATATCAAAGATATTTTAAATTTAAATGAAAATATTAACTAATACAATGACTTAAATCGTATTATTGTATATAGTAGGTCAAGTTGCTTGTGGGGATTTTTAAGTTCCAGCAGGTGTCAGTGTGCAGTGACAGTATCGATACAGTATCGATACAGTTTGGTAATGTGTTGAAACCGACCCATCGCTATTAAAAACCTTTGAACACAAATAAATCCTGATATTGCTCAACTTGCTTTGTAAAACCTCACAGGCTGACATGTGGAATGAAAGACTAGAACAAGAATGCTAAAATAATTAAAAATAAATTAAAAGAACAGGCCGGTTGAGTGATCAGCAATCGTGCACATGACTAAATCTCTTTACGTTTTAAATCTTGAACTTGTTTTCCTCGACATACCTGAGATCCTCAGTCTCCTCTGCTTCATCTCCTCCTTCCAGCTGCTCCTCGTTCCCAACCAGCTCACCTGCGTCCCTCCCGATCACCTGACGCTTTCTCCGATCACCCTCTGAGGTGTAGCCTTGATCCATCTGCTCCGTCACATTACAGTGAGGTTTCTTGAACTGCGTGCTTCCTTGTATTTAGTTTAGTTTGGTTCATCTGCCATCATTGCAAAAAAAAATAAATTCACGCCGCTGAGATGAACAGCTGTTGAGATGTTATCGTACACAGTAACAGGAAGTGATGTCAAAGGGGAACGCCTAAATGTAAACAGTGTTGCAACAATAGCTACAATCTGATGTTGTTGTTGTTTAGATTATTCTGAATGAACGTCAGAGACGAGGAAGAGCCAGAGTTCAGAAAGCATGGCTTCACTAAACAAAGGCCAGGGAGTTCCCCTTTGATGTCACTTCCTGTTTCACTTTGGCAGCACCAAGTTCAAACGGACATATGCCAGTTATGAGACAAAATGAGTACATTTGTGCATTATTTCTTAAATCCCAAAATGTTTTCGTCCGTGTTTTGTATTTGTAGGATATGCATGCGACAGGCACTTTAAAGAAACCATTTTGGTCAAACCTTGAAAATAACAACAAAAAAAGGTTGAATCATGTCATCTGGACTTCGTTTTTTGTTAAAAAGAAACGTTTCGCCCCTCATCCAAGAGGCTTCGTCAGTCTGAGGCCTAG